CAAAAATACAATAATCATTCGATAAGAAAATAAACTTGTGTTAATACAATTTGGCTAATTGGTATTTAATTTGGATTTATTTTATTTCTATACTGTAGTATTAAACTTTGACAATACACATGAAGTCTCATATAACTCTAGATATATTCGATTTCAATATTTTGTCTTTGCGTTTAGTAATATTATATTGTGGTGTGATTTTATTACGCGTAGGTATAATAACATTCCGCATCCGTGTGTCGACTTTTTGGTGAAATTGGTAAAAAAACATTTCAATAACAATTGTGAAAAAATAACATTTGCCTCTTACAAGAAACAGAGCATAATTAAAAAAGAATAAAACCTCGAAATTAAAGTGAAAGTAAATCAGGTGTTTTTTGCGGAGCAACCTCGGTAGCGATTTTCGCGAGACAACAGTTAACGAATAAATAAACATTAGTTTGACCATATCACATCACAAATAGATTGAATCATCATCATCGGCCCATTTACATCCCCACTGCAGAGGTTCAGGCCTTCCATACGGATGGTTAAGGAGGATGGGCCATGACCCTCCACGCTGGCCCAATAGGGATTGGAGGGTATTAACGACTGCCGATGCAGCCGGGACTCAACCACTTAACGTGCCTTCCGAAGCACGGAGTAGCTTGACATATTTCTTTGGTCACCCATCCCGTGCTGAACCCTTGCGAAAGTTGCTTAAAAACAACGATCGCCGGCCGTGGCGCTTATCCACTACACCACTGAGCAAATCAAATAGATTTTAATTAGACCTTTAATCGTACACAAATCGGTTAACAGTTATTACCTTTCCCTTTTCTTTTTGTTAGAACTTCCATTTTTAGAGAACAGATAGTACAGAATTACAGCCATAAGTCTAGGTTGAAATTATTTATCATATTTCCGTCTTTTATTTTATCACAATAGTGGTACGATTGTATTTTAACAGTATCAACTGTATGGTAACAACTTTTTAGACAAGGTTGGAAACTTGATCACATTGGAAAACAGAAAGGCTTATTATACAATCTCAAAATTAAATAGCTGCTTTTAGTATGCTCTTAGATTAGTTAAAGAAACTGAGTTAAAAATTTAACATTGATCGCATAAATTCTTGGCTTCATGGAGTGATACTGTGAGGAAAACAGCAATGAATTAAAGTCTTGGACGATATTGGACCACGTTTTCTTTTAATTGATTTTGAGTGGGTTATGGATGATAGTGCAGTAATATTCGTTTTGTGAAAGATTTTACCAACAAGTTTTTAGTACAGTTTATAACATTAGAAAAACATCAAACAGTAATCCGTAAAATGTCACCTTTTTAACATAAATAGTAACTATTAAAGTTATACACAACAATTTACTAAAGATCTTGCAAATCAACTATCAACACAAACAATGTTGGTGTTGATTGAAACTCATTATTTTATCGATATAAGTTATTATTTCAAATAAGTTGAAGAGTCACCTCACTATTTTGAAGGAAGAAAATGGCGGGAAGTATTTTGTTATGATAGCCAAAATGATCATAAAATATAATTTAACTCATTGTACTCTGGATTTAATGCGTTGAATTTTCTGATTAAGTCAATAAAGTTTGTCACCTGTCTGCCCTTCACTTTTGCGAACGCTCATTATTGAACAGTGCAATACAAGTTTATTTTTAATTCCAATTTTGTCGTCATGGTACGGAGCGTAGACATTTTTGTACGAAAACTGCATACCATGTTAATTAATAAGTTCGTGAAACAGCTTGCGTTATTGAGTTTGAGCGAATAATTGACGTTTATAAATAAATAGAACTGTGTGGTTTCAGAGTATAACCACTTTATTACAATCTCGCAATGCTAATAGCATAAACAAAATTTAGCATCTGAGTAAATTTACGCTAAAATAGCAATTTTAGCATTAGTCTACATTTATATTATACAGATAATAAACAATCCTACTGCCTTGTACCTCGTACCTCGTACTGGGTATACCTTTGCCAAGTCTCTGTTTAATAATATGAATTTTGACTAATACTAAGTGCAGTCGCAGTGTAAATTTATTCCAACGCTAAACCTTTTTTATTAATTACACAGTCGGAGTTTAACAGTGCTATTGTTTGTTATTTAACTTTTTTATTCACAACGACAGATGTCACTATCAAAAATATAACTCGCTGTGGTTTCGAGAACAATCTAAAGTAACATTTGAGAGAGAAAAGTGTCGGCGAATAATTACTGTAGTATGTATTACCAGCGGCTTCAGCCGGATGTCAAACGAAAATAATTAAGACTTAAGACGGTAAAAGTGTGATCAATCCTACAGTATTTCAACTACCTCCAAACATACATTCTTATTATGGCATTTTTAGAATATTATTATTATTACTTATAATTTGCATACCATTAAAAAAGTTCCCCCTAAAGAAAATTTATGAGCATTGCTCTTTAAACTAAATATCAATATAACATTGGGAACGCAAACTTTAAATATATATTCTTCAGGAAATTTATTTGTCATATATAACTTAATATGCCGTTGATTAATATACTCATACATAACAAAGATACCACGATTTTATTTGTATGTCTTGAATTTAACAAAAATATGGAATGCAACTAAATGAGGAAAAAGGTTACGTTCACTTTTAAAGGTTAGGTACCTACTGTATTTGTTGGCATCGAAGTATCAGAAAAAGTTTTAGCTCATAAAATAATGCGTTTTGCAATTGTGTTTGCGGTTCTTGATTGGGTTTTTGACGTTAATATTACTTTATAATTACGTCATTCAATTTGAGATTAGAAATTGAATCGTTCATCGCCATTTTGAAGACAATAATTAATGCAATTAAAGTGTAATTAAAAAGGTGATAAGACGTACGAATTATAACACGAATTTATTATAATTAAATAATATTTAAAGAAAGTTACTACTAGAATTAGTAATATAATACTTGCAATATGCCAGTATCATAAAAAAAAAACAAAATATGCGATTCTTACTTTATAACAATTCATTCAATGATCCCATACAATCCAACCATGTACAATCGACAGCACGTCAGATTGCCCCAAAAAATCTATTTCCCTATCAATGTTATGCCTTAAATTTTGATGTTAATGTTCTAAATTGTTTGTAGTTAGCCTTAACGCAACGTAACGTAAACCTGGTGTGCTACTGTGTGTACCTACGTATTGTTCGACCGACCGACACCAAATTCTGTCTCGCGGCGACTTCCGTTATAAACAATTTTGATCAGTAGGCCAAGGAACTAGCGGTGTTGCAACCATTTCTTTAAGACATTTGAGATTCAGATCTGCAAAAATTTTGGTTAATTAACACGAAATATCCACCCATGTGTCGATTGTGGCTTTAACTAAACTCAAGTAGCATTTCACAAAGTTTCTTTGCCTAATAAGTAATAACAAAATTGTTAGCTTTATAACATTTCAGCTTAGTTCTTATGTTACAACTAGATACCAAGTGTAGTTACTCTATTAAAAACCACGAACTAGACGACGAGATCAGCGTTGTCTTGACTTAGGGCTTCAATATGCCTTTATTGAAATGAAACCTTTATTTCCTTTTCAATTACTTTTTATTTAAATGAACCTCTGTGCCTGGCGCCATGCTTTCGAGGGTCTCTTTAAACAGAATAGTACTGCAGATTTACTCATCGACTTATCATAAAGATTAATAAATAACAGTTGTACTGAATTAACCTTGCAACACTAGTTGACGAAAAAAGGAGGACTAAGAGAATTGCTTGTTCCTGATGGAAATGCTACTGAATGGACCAATATATTTTATGTACGAATATAAACTAATAATGCTAGCAAATCTTGAGGATAGTGCGAAGTCATAAGTAGGTACATTATGTACCTATTTAACGGTGCAATGATTTTTATGTCACTTATTGCCTCAAGCAGTGACATTTTAGAAATACACAACTCATTTGTTTCGTCGATTTTATTAAGACATGACGCAGTCTGATTAATTTTCAGAATGGAAGAATTTTGTTACAAACAAATATTTGTGGATAACGTGTTGATAATGGTTGTTTTAGTATCACTTCAGTGTTTACAGACAACACTAAGCTTTGTTTTACTACGGTTAATAATTAATTAAACAATGTAAGAGAAAAATTTCCTCTGTTTATTCTTGGAAAAAAATCTAAAGAATCTATCATTATTTTATAGAATTTATGACGAGTTTTTTCCTGCTTAGGTTCAAGAATCTTGAAGGGCTTACGAATTTATATTGTAAACCTGGCTCTGTTTTTTATCAATATAGGTAAGTATGATAGGTCGATCATAAAAAACGGTAAATTTAGGAATCTCATTAAAATAAAAATGACATTCATTTCGCAATGGTAAGTAGTACGTAGTAGTAAAAAACGAAGATTAATGAATTATTTACGATAAAAAAACTTACAACTGTCGTAAGATTTTTGCGTAATTAATAAGCACATAATCTAATTATAATTTTGCTTATATTTTCGTGGACACTACTTAATTAATCAATAGGTCCTTTCTATATTGTATCTGAGATAACTATAATATGGTAATTATTGCTAGACGACAGCTGAATGTTTTTATAATTTTGAGTGGACAAACATCTCAGCCGAGATGTCACGGAGATAAGGGAAGCAAAAAATCTGTCTAAATATCAAAATAACACGCGATCAAAGAAGATAGGTATACGAAAAATTCGATTGGTCGCCAATATCGATATCAAAATAATCAATAAGTGAAGTACCTACGTAGGTACTTCCATAAATTATCTCTAAAATTTCGGAATACCTACACCAATTCCGCTTTTAATTGGTTCTCGTCCAATACATATTTCTTCCTTTTATGCAACATTTACAAAAGATGAGGTAAAGAGTTAACGAAATTTCTGACTCACTTATTTGCTAAATATTTTGATACAGTATAAAGCTGGTCACCTTACAACAGCTTGTTGCGGTGAATTTAAATTGATACGAAATACTGTTGTGACATTACTTACAGCTTTAGAATAACCGCTGCAAGCACTGCCATCTGATGAGTTGCTCAATCGCCTCTCACTGTTAGAAGCCGGTGGCGACCACGCAGAGCCACTTTCCGACGGCATTTTTGGCACTTCACAATAACAGTCTCACATCATAGCTGATCCACAGTGATATAACTTGTCGATAACCGTTACGCACAACACTAGCACTTCACACAACTGTCTGCGTGGTCCATAGCGTCCCCCTTACCTGAAAAGGAGATTTTCGAGGTGTTATTACTTTTTTCAAACAAAACAATAATCTCAGGTAGGCTCTTTCTATGATTTGGGATTGTTTTGGCTTTCAAAAAGTTAAGACAGTTTAGCAGGCGTAAATACCTACTTAAAAATTACAGTCACTCGATTGTAATGAGAATTTATGAAGCAACACATAAAACTTTATAAACTCAATCTACCACGCATACTATTTCAATCGTAAATTTTTTCAAAGGTATTTATCTATGGCGTCGTGCTGTTCTCTGACCATGCCATACATTCACAAAACCTTTTGCAACCGATTCTTATGTAACGTTCACATCAGCACAATAGCATAACAATGAGTGTACACTAATTACCCGAATGTTAGAATACCACGGCCGACGTATTTGCAACAATAACACGGGAACAATAAAGTTTACAATCGTTCGGATATTTTGCAGCGAATAACCGTTATTGTCATTTACGTTCCAAACGTGCGGAGCGTCGCGCGGCGCGATCGAAACTGACGAGCCGGTCGGTCGCGGTCGGTCGGTCGTCCGAGCGGCGTGCGCCCGTTCGTTTGTGAAGTTCGGATCGGAATTGGAGGCTCGGCTGGGCACGGCTACAAGCCAGCAGACAGCGAAAAGATAAATCTACATTGATAATAATTTACTTTATTAGTAGAAGTTTTGGTAACAGAAAAAAATCCCTACCTATTAGAAGAAATTGACTGAATGATACCAACATAGGTAACCCACAGAATACCCACAAAACGAACAAAATTGCATTTTGTTCCATCTCAGAGTTATTCAGCTAGTTAGGTAATTAATTAAATTAAGTCAAAACGGCTATATTTCAATATCTATACACCAAAACAAACATACCTACATATATTTCAAAACCAACTAATATTTATTTCGTTCGTCGGTATTCGTACAATTCGTAGGTACATCTATAGGTATTAAATTTGACCTATAAATCCAGTTATTAATTATCGTGCTGCGTAGGATAATACAACGATATTCTTCAGATAAACAGCATAAGCTTTAAAATCAACAAAAATAGAGATTCTATTATAAGTTGCTTTCCCAAATTACAAATTATTCAATATAATAATTCCGAAGGGCCTACAATTAAATGTGATTAAATTCATCAAATAAAATTTGTCTTAATAGGCAAATAAGTTTATAAATCATCTTTTGTTTATTTCACGTTTAAGACATTGTGTAGGTACCTGCGTCTATTGTCAATGTATCCCAGGTACTAATTCTGAATGGAAACCGAAATAAGCACCATCCAAATGCTACCATTGAACAGATATTTGAATAAAAAAAACACCTCGAGTGCAGCAATCTGTGACAGAATGCTATGGCGGCAGAATGCGTGATATTTTTAATATTGCCCAGCTGTTCAGTCGTTGAATATTTTTTTCTCTGCAAATTGACCGCTTTGAAGTGAACTGGGCTATAGTGTCAAGTTTATTAAACAATGCAAATGGCATAAATATGAGAAGGACCCAGTATTAAGGCTTTTATTTATGTTGCAGTTTTTTTCACTTGGTAGGTATGTTTTATTTTTCATGATTAGGTAAGTTGGATCATTAGGATGGTAGGGGTGGTAGATATTCAACAAACTTTTGAATTTTTAACTGTAATATAACGATCATTCATATACGCTAATGTTTGTATATGCAAATTAAAGTTAGGATTATTTCTGTAAAAATACTAAAAAAAAAATATTAGACAACATCACATACATTGCTCAGACTCCCAGATGAGTAGCTAAAGCCACCGTATTATGGAATATCCGAGACAATGAAGGTACTACAACACCCAGATCCGAGACAATATAGAAATGTTCATTTTCTACATTGACTCGTCCGGAAATCGATCCCGTGACCAGAGAGATGACGACACATTGGACTCGGCATGCGAACACGGAGGTCGTCGGGGTAGGTAAGTAAGCATTATATTTACCACCAAATTTAGTTTAAAACTTTTTAGCATAAATGTTTTGTACTTATAAATTTGGTGTCAATTTTAATTATTCTCGAGTTGTGAAGCTATGTGACAGTGAAACCCTAATAACTTATCGAGAAAGTGTCTCGATCTCATTAAGAAAATAATAAGGAGTGCTTCTAAAAATCGCATGAGTCAAAGACAACCGAACACATGCACTATACTGAAACATGGCCCACATTCGCTATCAGCAATCTGGCCACAGATTAAAATATTTGTGACCACGTGATTCATTACCCATTGAAATGACACCGTGAACTCTAACAATGTGACAACATCACACGTTTACTTAGGGTTGGTAACGACAATTGCTAGACATTTCTTTTTCGTTTTCGACACTTCTAAAAATTCAATCGTTAGTTTTAATGATTAAAAAAGTCTACTTGTTATACACTAACCAACAAATCATCTATTTTATTATGGATCCTGTAATTTGGCTATTTAATATTATAACAAGACATTAACAGGAAACTTTGTTACTATAATAAGATCATAATTTCACTCCGCAACATCAAAGAATATATTAAGTACACCAATTTTTTTGATAATAGAATAACCACTAATTCAACATGTTTTTATAGACGAGTAGTGTTTTTTCACCTACTGAAATATGCGTACTCACGGAACTGTTCAAGCATGCACTGACCAAAGGAAGTCCACGACTTCCTTTTTCTGTATATATTTCTGAATTTACCTAATCTATCAAATACATTATTTCATAAATATAATGTCTAAATAACAACGACGTATGAGTCTATTTTAAAAAACAATATTTATTAAGTTACAAAATTTCCATAGAATACACTTCACAGCACATATTGTCTCTTAATTTTAACGTACTTATAAAATATTCAGAACAAAATACGAAAATATGAGTATATTCGTACCATCAATGTGCTGTATTTTTGTTGTAACAGTATATTTATCAATCAATATCAAAACGCTTTCATTCTTTATTTCATTTCCTTCTGGAGGCAAGAGACAACCCTAAACCCTAAGATAACCAAAGCGGCGCACGCGCAGAGAAATTGCGCTATTGTATGACGACGTGTGGCCATTTTGATAGGTGACATTTTGGAGCAGTTCTGGTATCACCAACAGCGATTTAATATAATAGATTTTTTTTTTCTTGTACCGACCACTTTCACAAATATAAAAAGCATGGCTCAGATTTATCAGTCCTCATGATTAAAACATCATTTTAACTGCGGCAAAGATAGTTATAAACCTTTATACATAAACGAGTACATAGCCGTGGACTTTTTGGCTTAACCATGAAGTATTGTCTGGAATTATCTTTTCTGGTGGCTGAACTACTGAAAGTTTGCCGCTTTTGTCCCTGTCTAACGCTAAGAAAAATAGTTTTTTTTTCGGTTCGGTTTGTTCGGTTATGTCAAGACTTTTCTTCTACTAACACATTGATTACTTTTTTCCATCTCAACGATATTATAGTGAATATTCTGTTGCCTCTTCTTAGGAAGACAATAATTTTCAGGGTCTATAAATACTGCGTTAAGAACGTGATATCTTATTTGTAACGTACTTATAATTTTTACGGAATACTTATTATACTTTATACCTTACTAGCTTTCCTACCTTACTAGCTTTCTTTGTCTTGTATTAAACATAAAAACCTTCCTTTTGAATCACCCTATTTATGAAAAAAAAAACCGCATCATAATCCGTTGTGTAGTTTTAAAGATTTAAGCATACATAGGGTATAGGGACAGAGAAAGCGACTTGATTTATACTATGTAGTGATTAACTTTCCTTCTTCGGCTTCGCCCGCGTGGTCCCTAGGGAACTGCTTTTTTGGATATCGATTCATCATACCATGACACGGATATAATAAATGGTAAATTGAATAGTAAACAATTGTTACTATTGTAACATTTTAATTCTTTATACAAACTTCCACTCCCATTTTCATCCTTTTATTTGCGGGATAAAATATAGCCTATGTTCACCGCATATGATGTAGCATCTCGTAGATGAAAATAAATTAAAATCGATCCAGTAGTTTCTAAGCCTATTTGATGCAGACAAACAAACAATCAAATCTTAACTCTTTGTGTATAATTATTGTGAATAAGGTTTATAATTATAAACTCCATGACAGTTAATATAAAAACGTAATGTGTGTATATCACCTGTTTTGCATTCCGCATGTATATCGATTGATCGAATACTTTTTATTGTAATACTGTCATGGAGTACGGATGGAAACAAAGATTGATGTGGCATTTCTTATTTGTTGAAAACAAGTCTAAATAATAATAATAGTCTAGTTGTAGTTAGAACGCCTGCATTCTGATAACAGATAAGGGGCCATTCATTTATTACGTAAGACTATTTTCGCTAGTTTTTGACCCCTCCCCCCCTATTATAAGAAAAAATAAGAAAAGGCCGACCCCCTCCCCCATGTTTAATATTTATTACGTAAGAATCTGAAAGAAAAAAGAATACTGGTTTTGGGTTCTTTTAATGTTTATTTTTCAAAGGAATAATTTTTAGAAATCTTTTTCTGTACTTTGTAAGTACTAATAATTTACATAAATCTTTCATAAAATTTTCAGTCCAAGTACTCTAAATCCACTCGGAAAGTGTATCTGCCACTGGAACATCTTTAATAAAAGGTGTTGCTTCTGGTCTGGTCTGGTGCTAATGGCTGGACGTCACTACCCTGAATGACCACATTCAGGGTAGTGACGTCCAGCCATTCCACATCAGCCCCATTTGCTGATCTTACGTAAAAACTACCGAGACCCCCTCCCACCCCCTTGTAAGAAAAACTAAGACATTATTGACCCCCCCTCTCCCCCCTAGATCGTCTAACGTAATAAATGAATGGCCCCCTAATTAGCTTCTGATTTAATGAACTTCGCCAACATTGAATATTATTTAAAAGTTGAAAATTTTAAAGAAACCAATAGAAAAATACTGATAACTAATAGATCGATAGTACAAAAATGATGCAAATACACTTTCTACTTTTCCAAAGTTGCACCATAACGCGTGAGAGAGATAACAGCTAAATTATACTCCTGTTACCACCGCACAACTGTAGTACTACTAAATAGAGTTCAAGTTTGCATAGCACGATACATTTTAGGTCATATAGTAAGGACAACGTTAAAGGCCTAACAAGAGAAATCGCTTGGTTGTCCTTATTTGTGGATTTATGTAATAGGAAACTATTAGTTACTGTTGGGCCATGGCGTAAAACTAATATTGTATTATAAATCATCAGTTCAGTAGGGCTATTGGCTAACTTTGACATCAAAGTGTGCAACTGACAATTCGTTGTACACTGCGATTTGATCGCAACCAGTTTCTCACTAACATTGGTATTGCGTATCATAGTAGTTGGACATCAACTAACGGTGCTTTACGGTGCCTTATAAGTGTCATTCGACAAACCTCTTGACTCCTCTATTTTTTATCGACGTTATGCGCCGAAATTTAGTTGCGTGTCCAAAGCACATCCATTAATATGAATTGGAGTTATTATTATTTAG